CCACCCGTCTGTCAGTGGAGGCTTGCATGTTTCTATGATGCTGAGCAGGTTTCAGCAGAGCTTTCAGATTAAGACTGACTAGGAAGAAAGGCTTGAAGTTCTACTTCCAAAAATCAACCAGTGGAAACCCCATGGATAACAAGAGTCTGATCCTCTTGTACATGGGGTCGTCATGAGTTGGGGGTTGACTCGATGGTGGCTAACAAGTGAATGTTAGCAATTATGATTCACTATATGATCACTTCACAGATTGGAAAACGAAGGCTCAGAGAGATTAAATAACCTGCTCAGGGTTACACAGGTGGTGAGTGCTGGAGCTAGGGTTTGAACCCTGGCCTGTTTGACTTCAGAGCTCTTAACCATTGCTTCCTGTACTGAGTGTCAGGACATCTGGGTTCTAACTTCACTAACGGAGTGCCTGGGGACAAGGCCCTTTTCCTTTCTGGGCCTCAGAGTAAAATGAAGGAGCTTGAGTAGGTGGTCTCTAGGTTTGTGAGTCCATGTAGACTACACTCACACAACCCACCCTCATCTAGTATTTTCCTTTTTAGACAGAAGGTACTAGCTAATCAGAAGGTCTCAGGATCAGTGCAACCAGGCTGGCTGAGGGAGGTTGCAGAAGAAACCAAATGAGTACGCTGGAGGTGCTAAGAGAGCACTAGTGCTGTCCATGGGACTGAGTCTGGGGCCAACTCCTACCTCTTGCTACTACAAGAAGAGGAAAGCAGAAGGTAAAGGTATCAATTCTGTTCTGAGACCCCCCATTCATATTGACCCACCCAACCATCCACACATCCATCCATCCGTCTATCCACACATCCAGCTGTCCATCCGTCTATCTGTCCATCCATCCATCCACCTATCTACCCATCCATCCATCCATGCATCCATGCATGCACCCATCCATCCACTTATCCACCCACCCATCTATTCCTCTCCCTACCTACACGTCATCCCACCATTTACACATCTATCCATTTATTCACACATCAATTCACTTACCTTACCTACTTACCCACCCACTCATCCACCCAGTATTTCCCAGGAGCCTATGCCCAGGGGCACAGAGATAACTCAGTTTTCAAGGAGCCCACAGCCTCCTGGGGCATCAGACAGCAAGAAGATACAGAGGAATTAGTGGTATTGTGGAGGGGGAAATACACGTGTGGGAGCCCTAGGCCAGGTTCATTTTCCAGTCAAAGCTGAGGGTAGCATGGGGAGGACAATGCATGCCTTTCCTGCCCTGTCTCCTCTTGCATGTGTCAGGAAGTCTTGCAGTCTAGATTTCCCAGCTTGGTTTGGTGAGTGGCTAGACCTCTTGCCTGTACTGAGCAACCCCTACATCTTCACAGTCTTCATCTGGGCCCAGGAGGCAGTCCCTGGCCTCTGGACCCCAGGCTTCCCTTCCTAAGACCACAGTAGGCAAAAGATGCTGCAGGATTGGTTCTCAACAACCAAGAACCTGGTCTGGGCATCCTAACTCAATAGCTGGCTTCAGGGTATCCAGGGCATGGGAGCCAGGATGCAGGGATTCTAGATTGGCTTTGCCACTAACCGCCTGTGTGACTTTGGGCAAAACCCTTTCCCTCGCTAGCCCTATGTCTATGCTGTCTACTTATTTATTTGTTAGCCTCTGCAATGCTACAAGCGGACTTCCCTTTCAGTGGGTAATTTTATGGCAGAATAACAACAATGACATCACTAATCATGTTGAAGTGCTGTATATGAGCCAGGCACTTTCCACTTATTAACTCATTTCACCCTCACAACAAGTCTATTATTTCCCCAAGAAACTGAGGCATGGAGAAGTTAAGTAACACTCACACAGCTAGTGAGGGATTTGAACCCAGGCCATCTGCCTTCACAGTATGAGCTTTAACCACTACCCAGTCATACCAGGGCCCTCTGCTGTCCCTACCATACCTATGGATGTCAGCCCCAGGCAACAAGAGCCTGGAAAGACCAAGAAAGTGAGGCTCAGGGATCCTAGGATGTCTGGGTTCAAGGGACAGAAGGGGACACTGGTGCCCGGAAGGGCCAGTGACTTGGCTTGGGTTATAAACCAAGGATCCCTGTTCTCTGGTCACCCAACTCTCTCCTGTCTCAGCAGCTACACATTCTCCCCAGGTGGACCATCTGACCCCTGTCCTCGATGCCACCTAGACGCCCAGACTCAATCAGCCAACACCTGCAAATGAGGTTTTAGTTTGCTGCCAGTGCTACGGAACCCTAATTGAGACTTCTTGCCGTGGAGATACTTCCGCAGCCCTCTCGGTAGATCCTAGAACTCCCTTTTGCTGTAGTTCAATAAGATACATCTCAATCCAAGCCCACCTCACAGGGCTCTGCCCACCGCGGGCCCCCACCCCCCCACCTGAAGCCTGCTCTGGGAGTCGCCTTGCTCCCTCTCTGCCATGTGGGCAGGACGAGATCATTCACAGTACCTCAGTTATTTTAGGAAGGCTGGGGAGCAGAATAGAGTATCCCTGATCTCCCTTGATTCCCAGATGGGGAGGGGGAGGAGGGGAGGGGGGGAAGAAGACAAAAATCGTCACTTCTGGGTATTAGCCCCAGGGTTCTCTGTCACACGTTGGCACGTGTTGTCCCGACCTACTTTCCCCTTTTATGAATTCTGCCTCCGTCGTCGGCAGCTCAAGAGTGAGGCGGTGGCTGCTGAGCTGCAGTGGAGTATGCTGTTCTTGCAGCCCCAGTGTCTGTGGGCAGAGCCGCCTCCCCTCTTCCCAACACCAGCTCTGGGACCCTTGCTGCTGACTCATGCTCTTCTCCCCATTTGAATAAAGCAGCTGGTGGTTCGCACAAACCCAGCCTGATTGGGAAGGCTGGAGCTGGCTCATTGGCAGAAGGGAGAGGTCAGGGCTAGGGCACATTTGGAGGCAAAGCAAAAGAGTGCAGCGGATCCCCCAGATGCTCACTCGGCAGGAATGCCCGACATCTGGCTGGAGCTGACATCTGGATGGGCAAACTCATGTTTCTCTTGACTTAAATGCTGCCTAATTATGAAAAGACAACCTGTGCTTCTCAACCCAATAAGGATAACAGCATGATGAGTCCAGGCAGCTTAGCTGAGACAGTAATATGAGAGTTTTTCTCATCAAAACTAGTAATACTACTGCTATTACTAACAATATCTTCTGTGGTAGATTATGAAAATGGCCACAGTTATTCGCCTCTCTGAATCCATCCCCTTTGCAAAGTGACTTTGCAGCTACTTCCATCAAGAGGTGGAGTCCACTTTCCCCTCCTGCGTCTGCAGTGAAGTGATTCTGGGCCAGTTCAGAGTCTTGGCCTCAAGAGGGCTTGCACACTTCTGCTCTTTCTCTTGGAATCCTGTTGTCAGCATGTGAACAAGCCCAGATTAGCCTGCTGGAGAAGGTGAGACTACACAGAGCAGGCCATCCTAGATCAGCCTACAGTCCTGCCAAAATCAGCAAAGCCTCCACTGGAACCACCACGGATACATGAGGAAGCCCAGCCTGCACTGTTGACCTACAGAATTGTGAGATAAATATGTGGTTTTATTTTGAGTCACTAAGTTTTGGGGTAGTTTGTTATGTAGCAAAATCTAGCTAATAAAAAGTTTTTGTTTTTGGGAAGGGTCAATGACAGGATTTAAAAAACACAAAAACAATCCCTTTTTTTTTTTTTGTCATTGTTAAGGTTAATTTACTTGTCAACATGGCTAGGCTATGATGCCCAGTTGTTTGGGCGAACACTAGTCTAGACGTTGCTATGAAGGTATTTACATATGGTTGACATTTACAATCAGCTGACTTTAAGTAAAGCAGATTACCCTCTGTGATGTGGGTGGGCCTCATCCAATCAGTTGAAGACCTCAAGAGCAAAAACCAAGGTTTCCCAAGGGAGAAAGATTTTGCCTCAAGACTGTAGCGTAAACATCCTGCTAGAGTTTCTAGTCTGCCTGGCCTATGGATTTCAGACTCAAGATTGCTGAAGTTTCCAATCTGCTTGGCCTATGGATTTTGGACTTCTCTGCCCCACAATCAAGTGAGCCAATTCTTTAAAATAAATCTCTACCTACCTACTTACCTACTGCATATATAGGTATATATTGCATGACAGTGGTGCAGGCCTACATTGGCGATGTCCACTATAAAGAAATATATATCTATCTCCTATTGGTTCTGTTTCTCTGGAGAACTCTGACTAATACAGTCACACAAACATAGCAAGGTCAATGGAATACTAAGTAAAAGAGAAACAAGTTGCTCACTCTCTGATCATTCCCAAAAATATCAGAAGGATTTAAAAACACAAATCACAGTTTAGTGGTTCCTCAAAAAGTTAAACATAGAATTACCATGTGAACCAGCAATTCCACTCCTAGGTATATATCCAAAAGAATTGAAAGCAGGAACGTAAACCGATACTTGTACACCAATGTTCATTGCAGTATTATTCACAACAGTTTAAAGGTGGAAACATCCTAAGTGTCCATCAACAGATGAATGGATAAGCAAAATGTGGGAATATTTCTCAGCCATAAAGAGAAATAAGTTCTGATACATTCTACAACATGGATGAACCTTGAAAACTGTGCCGAGTGAAATAAATCAGTTACAAAAGAACAAATACTGTATGATCCCACTTACATGAAATATCTAGAATAGGCAAATGTATAGAGACCAAAGTTTGTTAGTGGTTACCAGGAGCAGGTGGGAAAGGAGGATTCATTGCTTCGAGGACACTGAGCTTCTGTTAAGGGTGATGGAAAAGTTTGGAAATGGAACATGCTGATGGTTGAACAACACGATGAACATAATTAGTGTCACGGAATCGTACACACGAAGAAAGCTGGAATGGCGACTGTTTTGTTACATATGTATTTACCACAATAAAAAAACAAAACAAAACGAAAACCATGAATCACTTTGCTCAACCTGCCCAGTATTTCTGCATCATCCCATGGATGTCACTCCCTCTAGTGGCTCCCTTTAGTGACTGCGGCTGGCACCACTTACCAGGACCTTAGTGGTGTAGGCGCTGTTGATGGCGATGGCGTTGACTAGCAGCTCCATGGTCTTGGCGTTGATGGAGCTGGGGTCGGGGATCTCCTTGTAGTGGACGTCACCGATGTAGGCCTGTACCACCGTCATGCGGTTGGTGGTCAGCGTGCCAGTCTTGTCCGAGCAGATGGCCGTGGCATTGCCCATGGTCTCACAGGCATCCAGGTGGCGCACCAGGTTGTTGTCCTTCATCATTTTCTGGGGGCAGAGGGAGGTGAGAAGGTGACAGTGAGCAGAGGGAGCTGGGGGCTTTGGGTAAACACGCAATAAATGAGGCAGAGCTCCCACGGGTGGCCCTTTGCTTCCTACACAGGCAGAGGACCTTGGGGGTTGCCCCCTCCTACATGCGGAATTTCTGGATTTCTGTGTGTGATCCTTTTCCTTCTCTTTCACTTTCTGAGCCATTTAAAATATTTGCTTCATTGTCTTTATTACTTCTGATTACATAAGTAATCTACATTCTTCAGGAAAGATACAATAAATTAAGATTGGGTCCTCACTGACTACTTCAATTTTTTTTTTCCTTATGCTATAACTTAAATAACTGTTCCATATTTGGTCATGGAGTTTCTGAAATGTACCATCTTTCACCGTTGCCTGGTTTTCACGATCACTTTGACTTCACCAAACGTAATAAATGTAGGCTATATCGTTGTTGTTGTTGGTGGCCGTCGAGTCTGACTCACGGCGACCCCATGGGTGTCAGAGTAGAACTGTGCTCCACAGGGTTTTCAGTGGCTGATTTTTTGGAAGTAGATCACCATGCCTTTCTGCCAAGGTGCCTCTGAGTGGATTTGAATCGCCACCCGGGGGCTGCATATGTGCTTATACACATATAAAATATCCGGAAAGATACATCATAATGTAATTATCTCTGTGTGGTGGAATTACAGGAGACTTTTATTGTCTTCTTTTTTACATCTGTAGATCCTGTTTTTCTACAATGAACATGTGTTACTACTCACATAATAAACGCCACAAAACTCACTTTAAATATAGATACACGAAAAGGAAAAAGAAAACAAATTAGCCATAATGCTACCACCCAGAACTGATACATTTTCTTATATAGCAACAACCTTTCTTTTTTATTTATAACAAAAAATGAAATCCCACTATACATGTTATTATCTATTTTCTTTTATACGCCTCCTTTTCTCTCTGCCCCGGCTGTTCCCCCTAGCGTCTTCCAGGTACTCAAGTAAATAATGCAAATAAAATAATTCTCAGGAAACCACCATTCTTCATGCAGGCCCTGCTGACATAGTGACCCTATCTGGCAAGGAGGGACGTGAAAAGCTGAGAGAGGCTGAGTCAGATTGAGTTCTGGTCTGTGCCTAGGAATGTAATTTCCTTTATTCTTGCTCACTATAACTCTTTGTAACAAGGGTAAAAATGAATCACAATTAGTATAATTTTAATAGAAGTTTATGTTACTAAAAAATGAGTATTGGTAGGATTATATGCCATTGCAGTTTCTCTTATTATAATTTGTGATAATAGTAACAATAAATGTATGTTGAATGGATGATCAACAGCAATTTGAAGCTGCAACACACTTTATATCTTGCAAAGCCCTTCTGCATTTATTTTCTTGTCTGATGTTCTAAGAATCCCATGAGATTTGCAAGGATTCTTGTAATCCATTTTGGCAGTTGAAGAACATGAGGCAAAGTGACTTGATCAAGATTACATACCTGTGAGCATTAGAGCTGGGATTTGAACCCAGCTCTGTTTAACTCACAGCCTTGCTCATTCCTTTGGTCTATCTGTTGGGCTTAAGATTTTTTTAAGCTTGCGCTACCCAGTATGGTAGCCACATTTGGTTACTGGGTACTGGAAATGTGGCTAGTCCGAAGTGAAATATGCTGTAAGTGTAAAATACACATTGGATTTTGAAGACTTATTATGAAAAAAGGAATGTAAAATATCTCATTAAAAATTTCATATTGATCACATGGTGAATTAATAATAAATGGGACACACTCGGTTAAGTAAATTATATTATTAAAATTAATTTTCTCTGTTTCTTTTTACTTTTTTTTTCTAACATGGCTTGCTGTTGTTGTTAGCTCTTGTCGAATTGGCCCCTGATTCATGACGACCCCACGCACAACAGAACTAAATGCTGCCCAGTCCTGTGCCATCCCCATGATCCGCTGTAGATCAGACTCTTCTTATCCATAGGGTTTTCGTTGTCTGATTTCTGTAAGTAGACCTCCAGGCTTTTCTTCCTAGTCCTTCTTAGTCTGGAAGCTCCACTGAAACTGGGTCAGCATCATAGCAACACACAAACCTCCACTGACAGACAGGTGGTGGCTGTGCACGAGATGCATCGGCCTGGAATCGAACCTGCGTCTCCAGCATGGGAAGTGAGAATTCTACCACTGAACCACTACTGCCCCCAACACGGCTACTAGGAAATGTAAAATTATACACGTGGCTCACGTTTTATCTCTATTGGACGGCATTGCTCTCTAAGTGGTCACCCCTGTTCTGTTGATGGCAGCTCCTAGGAGGGTAGGCCCAGGCTCACAGAAGGAATAATTTGCTTCTCCTGGGTTGGGGTGCTACACTGAGATTATCAAGGGACTGCACAGGTAACATTACCAAAGACAGGTGAAACCACCGATGCTAGAGGTATTAACTGCAGAGCACGCAGAAGGCCAAACGTGTCTGTTTGCACGTGAGTCCCAAAACCAATTCTGTGCGACTTTCAAGGAGACCCCCAGCTCAGATGGGTGGCTGCGGGGTCCCTACGCATCCTCCCCAGGGCCCCAGGCCCCTGAGGTGCATTGTGCAGTGACCTGCTTGGGCTTTGCTTTGTGGGATGGAGTTTCTCCGAGGACCTTAAAACGGGGAGACGGTAAGCGCCGTCTCCTTTACCCAGAGCTGCCACTTTCTGGCACCCGCCGGGAGATCTCTTTTCTGTATGAAATTACATCGGCGAGTCCAGCCCAAATTCTGGCTTGGAAACTGATGCGCACCGTGTCCTTGGCAGCACTGCCAACTTCTCAAGGTGAGCGCCTTGTTTGTAAACATGGCCCTGCCTCCCCTGCAGGACACCCTGGCATGGGTAACCAGAGCTCAGGGTCCTGCCCTCAGAGGTGGGCACCACCGGGGAAAAGGGAAGAAAGTGAGACGGGGCTGTGAGAACCTGAAGGGAGGCCAGGCTTGAAGTAGCTGCCCCAAAGGAATTGGACTGGCAGGGCTCACAAGACACCAGGCCGCTCCGCCCAACACCTGGGCTCCAACTGTGAGCAGGTGGAGGTGGGCTTTGCCATCAGTGCTGAAATTAGGAATGTCCCTCAGTTACTCCTGCTTCCACAGTAGTCATTTACAGACCCATCGGCCCTGCCTTTAAACTTATTTTAAAACATCTTATGCTTTCAGTGTTGATGGCTGTACAACTCTGGGAATATCCTGAGAACCCCTGAATTGTACACTTTAGATAGATGAATTGTATGGTATATGAATTAGATCTTGATAAAGCTGTTAAAAAAAAGAAGAAAAAAAATCTTATATTTTCAGCCTGTACCCCAAGGTGTGAGGGTTTCCATAAAATCAGGATTCCTTTTTGTTTGAGGCTTACTTCTTTCAAACTTTTAGGGAGAACCTCTGAGCTCAGTTGCACAAGCATTGCAATTGCTATGCTGGGGCCTATGACTTCCATGGCCAGATTTCTGCTTAAATTTGGTGGGATGGGTTTTGGCCATCTACATTTTTTTTTCCCCTAAAGTTGAGTTGATTGCTAGTGTTTAAGCCCCGAGCCAGCCCCTACTGGGGAGCTTTTATATTAGGGCGAGTTTATATTAAAGTCCCAGTTGTCACTGAGTCGACTTCAACTCACGGCAACCCCATGCGTGTTAGAGTAGAACTGTGCTCCACAGGGTTTTCAGTGGCTGATTTTTCGGAAGTAGATAGCCAAGGCTCTGGGAAGTGAGAGGTATGCTCAACCCTCGGCAGCAAGGGCTCTGGGTGGACTTGAACCTCCAACCTTTGGTTAACAGACAAGAGAGACCTGGGTTGGACCCCTGGCCAATGTACTTCAAGTGCAGCCACCTCTTGTCTGCCAGAGGAGGCTTGTGTGTTGCTATCATGTTGAAAAGGTTTCAGTAGAGCCTCCAGACTAAGCTGGATTAGGAAAAAAGACCTGGTGATTTATTTGAGCCAATGAAAACCCTATGGATCACAAGTGTCTGATCCCATTGTGTACAGGATCGCCATGAGTCGGGGGCCAACATGACAGCTGCTAACGACAATATATTAAAGTCCAGATTTATGTCTTGTCTTGAAAAATGTAGGATCTGGCAAAACTGGGCCTGTATCTCCACAGGGTGACACATGGCTGGGCTGGGTAGCGGCCATCCCTTTAGCCAGGGCATCATTTTCTGGTTTGCTGCAGGTCCCCTGCACTCCCTAAGGCACTGAGTTTTGGGATTCTTCATGCATCCTCGCAGGGCTCCCACTTGTGTCCACCCCTTCCTCTAGCTCTTCTCCCAACCCCAGCACTTGCCCCATTGACCACCCTGGCCACAGGCCCCGAGCTGGGAATAGCCCCTCTCAGCCAAGGCAGGGGCTGCGTCAGCTGCTGGTTCTGCTTCCCCTTCTCACCTTCACCGAGTAGGCCAGTGAGATGGTGACGGCCAGAGGGAGCCCTTCAGGCACGGCGACCACCAGCACTGTCACGCCAATGATGAAGAACTTGACGAAGTACTGCACATAGACAGGAGTGCACTCGGGCAGCCACGGCTTCTTGTTGACCACGAAGGTGTCCACGGTGAAGTAGAGCACCAGGATGATCACCGTGATGGCCGACATCACCAGGCCTGCAAGGCAGGGAGACTGCTCAGGGGGACTCTTGGGGGCAGGGGGCTCTGGGAAGGGAAAAGTGTGCTAAACTCTTGGCAGCAAAGGCTCTGGGTTCAGGCGACCTGAGCTCACATCCCAGCTCGGCCACTCACTTGCTTTGTGATTGGATCCTCACACAGTCCCAGTTTCCTCCTCTGTACAATGGGGATACTAGAAACAGGCAAGGCATCATGTCTGGTAAAACAGAGGGTCAGCAAAAACGAGGGAAACCCTCCGTGAGATGGACTGACACAATAGCCGCAACAATGGACTCAAACACACCAATGATCGTGAAGACGGCGTGTGACCAGACAACACTTCGTTCTGTCGTACATAATGTCGCCATGAGCCAGAGGTGACTCGACAGCAACTAACGACATAATGGGGATGCATGTTGGCTTCCCACGGTTTTGTGAAGATCAAGTGAGGTAATGCATGGAAAGTGCCTAGCACAGTGCCTGACACATAGTAGGTGCTCAACATATGAATACATAAGGACTGTTTGCATGGAGCTTTTACACAATAATGGGGTGTAGTTGTTATCATGTATTTACTCATTCATTCAACAGACTCCTTTTGAGCACTTGCTATGTGCCAGGCACACAGTAGTTCCTATTCTAGGAACTCAGGATAAAGCAGCAAAGGAGACAGAGTCCCTGCCCTTGGCAGACAACAAGCAAAAAAACAAATACATGAACAGTACGACGTGAGGTACAGAGAAATGCTATGAAGAAAAATGACAGGACGATGCGATCGGAAGTGACTCGGGATGGTAGCGAGTGGCTACTTCAGCTAGGGTGGCTGTGGAAGGCACCTTGGAAGAGGAGATATTTGAGCAAATAGCCGAAGGATGAGGAGGTGCAGCCCTATGGTGACCTGGGGGAAGAACAGTCCAGGCAGAGGAAACAGTAGGTAGCCATTTTTTATATGAGGAAACTGAGGCTCAGAGAGAGGAAGTGATTTGCCCAAGGCCACAGGTCAGTGCGACGCTGTAGCTGTAGCAGGTGGGACCAGCCAGACCCCCTGGTACCCTTCCTGCCAGTTGGGTGCACTCCCCCCACCCACCTGCCGCAGGTTCTGCTGGGAACTGCTCACCTGCAACCCCCTCCTCTGGAGGGTGCACTGGGGAATTGGAATCCCTATCAGGAGGTGCCTGGGAGTGCACCCCCGATTTGATGGCCAGTACCCAATGGCTGATGTACAAGAGTCCAGCCCCCTTGCCTCAAGGGGGACAGACCTGCAGGGTTAATTATGCTCCAGAGCCCCCCTGTGGGGTCAGGCTGGGGCAGGGGTTTCTCCTGGAATCTCAGTTTTCTCTGGCTTCTTCCTGGGCCCTGTCTGGCTCTCCTTATCCTTTACAGGTTCTACCTGAGCCTCCCCCCTGCCCCCCACTAAATCATTTGCCCACCCATCTCAGGCTCTCCTTTTAAAGAATTCAGCCCAAAAGGGAGGCTGAGGTGGGATTTGAACCCAGAAATGCTTGACTGTGAACCCCATTCTTGGCAGGGGAGGGAGATGGGCGTGGACTTTGCAGGCCATGGGCTGTTCCCGTTGCTTCGTTTCCTGTCCCCCACGCCCTGTTTCTGTGGAGTCTTCTGCCTGTGACGGTGATGGTGGGGTGGAGGAAATCCCTGGGCCCATCTTTCCCCACTCCTAGCCCCAGCTGCAGAGCCTCAGAGCCACTGCATCTGTCTGACAGTCGAAGGGGTGGGAAGCCAAGCTCCCAGTGCCGCGAGCTGTCACCAGGCCTTGAGTTTAAATACAGGCATCCAAGCCTGTAATTTGCCTCCCTTCCCCACGCTGCGGTGCCTATAATTAGAGCTGGGAGACAGCACAGAGGAGCAAGAAGCTAGGTGGGGAGGTCTTGGTGTCTGCATGACCTTCCCTGGGCAGGGGGCCCAGGGCAGGGGCTCACCTTGCAGCTGGGCTTGGCTTCCTGGGCTAGAGCTGCCGCACCAGCTACCGCTTGCAGCTACCAGCTCAGTTGGGAAGCCTGGCTTGTTGTGCTGGGGCTTTTGGCACTGCCCTTGACCCTTCAATCTCTGCTCTGCAGCTGGAAGTCACCATAAAGCCAAATCCATTCCTGCCCTCCCCTGCTCAAAACTCCTCTGTGGCTCCCACTGCCTTTAAGATAAAGCTGGGGCTGCCTGGAACTCCAGGCCCTGCATGATCTGGCCCCTGGCCCTGTCCAGCCGCCATGCACTCAGCACTAGGTGTGTGGGTCGCCTTTAATACTCACTGCGGGCCCATGAAGTAGGCACCCCCATTGTCCTCATTTTGCAGATGAGGAAGTGGAGGTGCAGAGCTGGGTGAAGTTACTTGCTCAAATTTTCACAGCTTTAACTGCACAAGAACACAGGCGGTCTGTTTCCCAGAGCCCAGGCTTTCAGCTTCCTTCTTCTGCCTCACTAAGTACTGACTGAGCGTCTACTGTGTATAGACTCAGACTGGTAGCTATGGCAGAGAAGGATGGGCCTTAGGGACCATGTCACCCAAGCCCCTCACTTTGCAGATGAGGCAACTGAGGCCCGCTGTATCCTCTCCTGGCCCCCCGCGGTGCCTACTGCCCCGTCTGCTGTGGTGGGTGTACTCACCTGCCTTGCCAATCTGCACAGCCAGCTTAGTGAGCTTGCCCTGCAGCACAGACTTCTCTTTTTTGTGCATGTTGGCCTTCTTCTTGTCGTCCGCGTCACCGCCCTCGGCGCTCTTGAGGGGCTGCATCTCCATGGCGGCTGCCCCATCCTGCTGTTTGGCTGCAGGGGCAGAGCATGCATGTGCACACACACACACAGACACACACACACATACAAACATGCACACACACACACACAGGTCAGCCTGCAGGGTGGGGATGGTGGCAACCAGCCCTGCCTGCCCAGGGGAGTGTGGTAGGGAGCTGACCCTCCACCCTGGGCCCCCTGCGTGGCCGGCACAGAAGCCCTGGGATGGGTGTCTTCCTCTTCCAGAGGGCTGTACTGAGTCCCAGTAGGGAGCGTCATGGCACCACCCTGGGCTTCCCTCTGGTCCTGAATGAGCCCACAGATCCTACCCCAATTGCCCCTTTGGCTTTTCCCACCAGGCTTGGGTTCTACCCAGATGGTCCTTGGGGCCACATTCTTGGGATATTAAGTAGCCACCAGATAGAGGGGACAAAAAGGGAGGTGTAAAAGTCAAAAAAGGAGACCCTGTCCTTGGGTGCCGAGTCCCCGTCTCCAGCCAGGGTGGTCTCTTCAGCACAGGACTGACTGGTGGGCCCTGAGCACTTTTGGACAGAGACTGGCCCAGACACACTACCCGCTGACCTCTAAGGATCTCAGCAAACCAGCCTCAAGCCTTCAGTGAAATGGCAGAGCTGGAAGGCTGGGGAGTAACTGGCCTTTGATGAGCTCCTCCCTGGAGGATGGCTCTCTACTTGGCCCAGCATCGCGGGCAGCACAACTGTGCCCCCCCCCCAGACACCAGACACCCACAGTGCGGATGTGTCTGCCTCTCATCTGCAGAATCAGAGGGGAGGGGCTGCAGGGACCACAAAGCAGTTAATAGGAAAGGGTTACCTTTGCTCTGGCTGGCGTCCACATTGCCATCCTGCATTTTACCTACACGACAAAGAATTTTAACAGACAACAGAGAACAGACAGCACATGTTGGTCATCACAAAGACGAAACAGGGTCATGAACATTCAAGTCACAGATGGAGGAAAGAGGAGGCGCCACAAACAAGGCCGTGGCTTGTATCTGGGGAGGGCCTGTGCTTACTGAGGTCCTTGCTACAGGGACCCCCAAGGAATGCCCACACTGGCCTCTGAACGGGGCAAGCCTGGTCCCTGTAGCTGCAGCTCTGCCAGACCAAGCAACTCTTGCCTCTCTGGGGGTCAGGAGAGAGGGCTTGGATTTGCATTATTTTGGCCCTGAGCCTCTTCCAAATTAAAGGGTAGCATTTGAGGGTAAAAGGGACCAGAATCTACTGGCAGGATGCAAAAGGAAGAGGGTGCTCTTAGCATCCAGGCCAAGCCTTTACTGGTTTACTTGGTTGCTGCCTTTTGTGGGCAGAGAGGAGGCAGACGGACACTTGTTCAGCTACATCCTTGTCATTTTCTGGGAAAAGAAAACACACACACGCACCCCAAAGTAAGAGAGAGACGGAGGCAGAGAAATAGAGACAGGAGGAGCTCGACAAGGTACTAGGTCAATGTGTGCCTTAGTTTCAGGCTCCAGAAGGGACAGCTCTACTTTCTCCTTCTCCCTCTGAAGGGGGGTGAAGCCACAGCAGGACAACCGCCTGCCTGGTCCCACTGAGAGTGGCCCCGGCAAAGGTCAGGGGGACTCCCCAGCGGTGGGCTCAGAGGGGCCCCCAATACGTCCAGGGGGCTTGGTGGGCACGCCCTGGCTCCAAAAGGGAAGCTGCTGCCCCCTCAGTATAAGGTCTGTGCCTTTTATTCTGAGGTTGATGGACTCGGACCACAAGAGACAGGGGAGGTGGGGTCAGTGGGTTCCCCTGGGTGCTCTCCCCATGACTAGGGCCTGAGGCTGCCTAGCGCTGGGGAACGGGCTGAATCTGTAGCTTGTAGGGCCACAGGGGACCAGGAAATACATCCACTCCACTTTGCTCCACTGGGGGTCTCCATCCCCTAATCAGGCTGCCTGGGAGCCCAGTTCGTAGTGTGGGAGGTACTGGTGGCTGCTGCCTGAACCCCAGACACCTGTCCCAGGAGCTGCCTGCTGCTAGTGAAAGGCACAAGCTGGCACTGCTGAGAAGGGTTCCCTTCTGCCCACTGGGCCCGCCTGCTTACCCTGGGACCCTGCCTGGAGGCTTGGCCCCTTGGGGAGGAGTTTGAGAAGGCTGGCCACCCTTGAGGTTTGCTGTGAAAAAGATTCTCATGGCTCAGGGCCTGCAAAAACCCACTGTGTGTTAGCGGGGTTCACTGCTTTTCAGGCGCTTACAACCTCCATAATCTCATTGAGTCCTCCCCATATCCCTACAATGGGTGCTCCTTATGACACCTATTTATAGATGAGAAGCTGAGGCTCACAGTGGGTGAATGGAGAGCCATGCCACGGTTTCTCCCAACGGCGAAGTCAGGGTCCCCTCTGAGCTCAGGGAAGGGCAGTCGAGGGTACAGTGGTGGGACCGGGCCCCTCAAGTCCCCATTTCACCACCAACTAGCTTCACCACCTCTCCCAGCCTCAGCTTCCACATCTGTGAAATGGGGATGAGGAGACTCACCACCCAGAGCCCCTGAAAGTGACACTGATAATAACCACGTGCGGATTTCTGCATTTTGCTGTTTCAAGGGCTTTTGTAAGTGGCAACTCTTGTCAGCCTTCCCCATATCCGTGCAAGGTGGAGTGGGGAGGAGTCTTCATCTCTCTCCTTTTACAGACAGGACGCTGGGCCAGGAGAGGTTCTGGGGTGGCCCTCCTTCATGGGGAATCCTCTCTGCTTGCTTCTGTAACTTCTCAACATTTAATCCTCACAATAACCCTGTGGCTCTGCTATTACCTCCATAGACACTGCAGTCATCATCACCACACCCATTTCATAGGTGACTCCGAGGGGAGGAGAGATCCCCAATCCCATGCTAGGACAGTCTGCCCGAGTGCCAGGCACTGCTGTTCCCTCCGCTTCTCCCCAAAAAGCTTCAATCAGGGACCCACCGGGGCTTCAAAAGACCCTCATTGCTCTATTGTAAAATTCTTTCTACGGGATCAAAAAATAAAACACAGAAAGGGCTTTTGGAGCAAATGGGACCGAATTACAACAATTATTTTTATTTTGTAAAATAATTTTACTAATTGTGCTACAGGGCACCAGAGGACTCTGCTCCAATAGCTGGCTTTCCAAGGCACAAAGGGCCCTTTATCTGCATTGCCTATTATCAGATGCAAGAGCCCATTAAACCAAGCTAGCAATTTCTTCTTTTATTTCCATTGTGACCACGTGGCCAGAAAAATAATCACCAATCCATATGTTTGAGGCAGGGTGCTGTGTTCTGGGGGTGCTTGGGTGCAGATGGCCTGGTTTTTCAGAAGCAAAGGTTTATTTGGGGCTCTCCTTGGCCAAACTAGTGCTCACCTGGCCCCTGAACCATGGTGAGACCAGCTTTGGTCCCAAGTGTCCCATGCGGGACTTAAAGGTTGCGTTTCACGGGAGTCGGGGGTGGAGGGGGCTGGGGCCCTTCTCTGCATCCCATTTCAGATGAGGCTTTTCCAAATGGGTCCAGTCTCTTCGCTCATCCCCAGGGATGCATGTGGGAAAAGCAACACCTTGGAGGATTCCTGGTGATGTGACCTGATTAACAAGCTTTGGAGAGACAGACCACTGGCTGGAGGACCTGGCAGATGTCACTTCTCTTCCTTGCACCTCCATTTCCTCCTCTGTGAAATGGAGATGATAACAAACAACCTTGCTGATGACAGACGCTTATGTGAATGTCAGGAAATAATAGTGGTGTACTTGGGTGACGCAAACAGCTGATCCTCTTACATGGCTGCCAACTGAAAGGTTGGAGGTTTGAGTCCACCCAGAGGCACCTTGGAAGAAAGAGCTTGCAGTCTACTTCCAAAAAATCAGCCATTAAAAACCCTGTGGAACACAGTTATTACTCTGACACACATGGGGTCACCATAAATTGGGGTTAACTGGACAACTGATTACTGGTAATAATGAGGGTGTAAACTGAAAGAAAATAATACAACAATAATGGCAATCATAATGCCTCCGAGATAAATGGAACATACCCACCTTCGAGATGAAGGCTTGGGGGAACGGGCTCGGAATACTGCCATCAAGTTGTTTTTCTATAGCCAAGCCATCACTGTTTGGCTCAGAGGAAGGAGGGCAACGTTAATTTCCTCTTATTCACTGAAGGCTCAGCCTAGTGTCTCAATCTTTAATGAGCACTTGAAATACAGATTCTCATTCAGCTGGTCTGGGATGGGGCTTGAGATTCTGCACTTCTAACAAGCTCTAGGTGATGCCACTGCTTCTGGTCCTCAGAGAACACTTTGATTAGCAATGGCTTAGAGCATTGTTTCCCAGAATATCTTATATGGCACACCAATCCCACCAGATTCAGCAAGGAAAGGACTCATAGTTAGATCAGTTTGGAAAAATCTGCCTGACTCTATGACTCTCCACTAGACACCAGCAATGCTCAAGGCTCTGATAAGTCCTGCATTGAGAAAGAAACCCACTCAATGCAGTGGTTTTTAAACATATTTGACCACAGGATCCTTTTCTTTGTGGGAGAAGACCTCTTTTTAACTTTATTTATTTACCAAACAACAACAGCACAGATTTATTATCTCACAGTTCCACAGGTTAGAAATCTCAAATGGACAGGCAGGGCTGCGGTCCTTCTGGAGCCTCTAGGGGAGAATCTGTTTCCTTGCCTTTTCCAGCTTCTAGAGGGGGTATGTCATTATTAGGTACTGTCGAGTCAATCTCGACTCATAGTGATCATGTGACAAAGCAGAAACGCCCCATAGGGTTTTCTAGGCTGTAATCTTTAAGGGAGCAGATCACCAGGCCTGTCTCCTGTGGAGCTGCTGGGTCGGTTCAAACCTCCAACCTTTCAGTTGGCAGCCGAGCACTTAACCACTGTGCCACCAGGGCTCCTAAGAGAGGGGGAATACCCAACCAGACCCAATGCCGTCGAGTTGATTTTGACCCACAGCAACCCTATAGGACAGAGGAGAACTGCCACATAGGGTTTCCAAGGCTGTAAATCTTTACTGGAGCAGATTGCTGCATCTTTCTCCTGAGGAGCGGCCGAGTGGTTTCAAACCTTTTGGTTCGCAGCCGAGAGCTTAACGACTGAGCCACCAGGGCTTAAAGAGGGGAATATAGACCTTTTACTGTCCTTGTGAAACTTACAAGACATACATTGGGAAATCCTGGATTGGGAGGTGAAGCATGCATGTTAGAGCCAACCAGACCTGGGTTCAAATCCCAGCTCTGACACTTTCTAGCTCTATGACCTTGGGCTAGTTTCTTGATCTCTCTGAGCCTCAGTTTCCTCATTTTCAAAGTGTGGATAACGAAACCTATACTGTAGGGTTGTTGTGAGGATTAAAAGAGACAACAAACATGGAATGCTTGCGGCAGTGCCTGGCGCACAGTAGGTTGTTAGAAGCTGAAATTTCCCCATCTTTCTTGCAGTTTTTCCCGGGTACCTGGAGGGTTTGCTGCAGTTTGGAAGTGAACTGCCCTTTTTTCTGGAGCTGGGGTCTGTATCCTCCCGGAGCCTAGCAGGTTTGTCACCCTGGGGGAAGCAGACACCACCTCCTGTTTCCTTCTCTGGCAGCTGTGGGCTTGCCCACATCAGCTCTCCCTGTCATCCCTCAGCCACCTCACCCTGATGCATGACACCTCCCACATCCCAAGCTGTCCTCCTTCCTCCTCCTGTGCCTGAAATAGAGTGCACCCCGATTAGTCCTCCTTGGTGACATGCTGTTTGCAGAAGTGTCTTACCCGGCCCATGACATACACTAGGTGTTCCCATCTTGGGTCACTTTGAGTCCAGGTGGCTCAGCCAGAGGCCTGGGGTGGGGAGTGGGGGTATGGGAAGGCCAAGAGTCTCTATCTTTTGCTGGAGTGGTGAGGAGTAAATGATATGATGGAGGAGAAACTATAGCCCAGTGCTTGGTGTGTAGTGATGTTTGGGGGAAAAAAAAAAAAAAAGACTTGTCCCTTCTTTTTGCTTTTTTGGGGCCATGATTTCATGACTGACCCCTAACACCTCTCAGCAGCTCAGGAGCAGCGTGGATTACTATGATGTTGCCTATTTGGGGGACAGGGGAGGTATCTGAGTAAGCAGAAGACTTGTTGCTCTGAAGATGGGAGGGCATAGAAATAAGGAACCTTCCAAAGGCTTGGAGGCAAGTAAATGGAATTCCTTCCTGCCAGTGTATAAGGAGGTTAAGATGCAGACCCCACATACATGGTGGCAGCCCCACGCTCCACCCTCCACACCCGAGGGTCCAGTAAGAATGCAGAGACCCAGGACAAATGCTCCAGCACAGGCAACAGCAAGAAACACCAGTCCACATCCGAGGGGCAGAGCTTGGCCCGAGCCCAGGCGAACCCCCTGCCTATTTGCTCTGTGAGAAAGAAGAGGAAGAAATGTCTGCCGGTGGCTCAGCCATGCTACGGGATGGGGCCAAGGAGCTGAACCCAGGCCCGGGTCCCACTGCCTCAAGGGAATTTGAGAGGCAAGGACTGGAGCCTTCATCAGGGACCCAGATGCCAGCCTCAGCCCAGGTCCTGACTCCAGGCCTTCTCCCCAAAGCTGGGGCCAGGATTGCGCTTAGGAGAGGGCATGCTGGGTGGGATGCTGCTTCTTAGGGATCAAATTTGCAGCTAAAGTCATGTCCCTCTTCTGGGCTCCACTGTCCCTCTTCAGGGCCCAACAGGAGCCGACGCCATTTTGGAAGTCTCAAGTGGGCGCCATGTTGATTCCTCAGACATAGCTCCTCTCTTAAGCGCCTGCCCCATGTGAGAGAATGACTGTCCCAGAGCTGCCCATGCACATCCGAGATCTGTGCAGTCCAGAAGAGGGAAAGGAAAACCCAGAGTTGAGGCGGGGAGAGAGATGCCCATCAAACCAAGACCGAGAGCTTGACATCGGAGACATACCATTGACTAGGCCGGCATTGGCACTATCTGCAGCATTTGAACCTGCCGCACCGTCTGCCGCTGCAGGGGGGTGAGAGGGATGGAAAATGCAGTGTGTCACAATGGAGGAAAGGAACAATGCAGAACAGCAACAATAATAAGGTCATGAACCAAGTGGCAAGGAAATAACATGACTATAATATTAAAAAAAATTTCCAATGGAAATGACGAAACACAAAGTTGGGGAGTGGAATGGTCCCACTGAGATGCCACAGAGGTCGGGGGGAAAAACTCAGGCATGGAAGGTCTTTGAAATAAAACATGGAGGATGACCAACAAGGTTAGGTGGGCTGGCACTGCTGTGTGTTGAAGTCTAGACTGAGGCACCCTGGTGGCCCAGCCAATTGAGTGGGTCCCCCTTCAGAGAGGGCTAATATGAGGAAAGGGGTCTGGATGTCCATTGAGGCCAAAGGGGCTAATGGCCAGGAGTCATTTAAAAATATCCAACAACCAATGCAGCGTGGGCACCAACCATTCAGGGTGAGTATTCGCTATGACCACCATCAACGCGTATTGGGGTGTTCCAACAGAACACCAGCCCGCAGACATGCCAATGGTGGAGACTTAACAGGTTTCACGCCCTTGACTCAGGCCTGTCGTGAGCCCATCACCATCTCCACCTTTCCTAACCAGCACTCAAAAGGTTGCCTTGGAAACCTCCATACCAGGTGTCTTGCCATTTAAAAGGTGACATCAAGCATACTGAATTTTGTACTTGAGACAGAAAAGGTACTAGTGAGTTTCCTTAATTTAGAAATTAAAAATTATATGATATAGACAAATTTGTCCATTACTCTTTCTTGTGGTGGGGAAGAAAAGTGGGAGGGAGAGGAGCAGACAGTGCTGGGTGATACACACTGTTGGGTAAGGTGGACATGCCGTGTGGTTGTGGGTAGCTGACAGGCTGTGTCGGGTGGTGGTGAGGGGAGAAGGGGCTGCAGGGTCTCATGGAGTGATTGAGGCATTGTATGCAGGATGCAGTGCTGAGACGGCGGGTGGCAGTCGGGGTGCCATCCAGCACTAGCTGGTGGGAGAAGCATTGTAAGGCTAAGTCTGCAGAGTAGGGCGATAGTATTCCTCAAAGGCACAGAGCGGGGTCTGGCAGGGGAGTGCCTCCCTCAGTCATGAAGGCTTCTCCAGCTGTGTGCTGGAGGCCTATGGGGCAGGGCCCTATGGTCAAAGGCTGCTGCTAGTTCTAAGAGTTCCATCTACCCTGAGGGGGTCTTACTGTACCTGGTAGCTGAAGGCCATCCCCCTTCTTCACACCTGTGTGATGATTTTTAAAACATGTTAATGAAGGAGAAGCTCATGTAGCCTCATCTGCCCACACAGGCACACACACATGCACTCACACAAACCTGCACACCTGGGGCATCCTGAAATGGGAACACACAGGTGGCCAGCTCTAGACAATGTCTCTGGTGGTGGTAATGAGATGGGAGGGCAGGGATCCCATCTTGTCTACCCTGCTCATGGTGGTCTGAGACGCTAAGACTGCCCTGTCTTCCTCTGCCACATCCCCTCTGCATCCCATCCCTTCTCTTTACACAAGGCCAAGTCTTCTGTCCTCCCTCACCTCTCTGGGCTACAGGTGCTGTTCAGTGGCTGACCCTGAACCATGCTTCTGGGCCAGGAGAAACACAGGTCTGGTCTGGGTGGGGGGCAGTTCTGGGTGCATTTGCCCCTCACCCAGACCCCAGTGAGGCCAAGGAAATGGGTACAGGCTGCTGTGCCCTTCCCAACTGCCTCTGCTCTGCCCAACTGCTTCCACCGTGGGGCAGGGTCCAGTTGCCCTGGCCACAGCTTCTAAAGTCACTTGTGCAGACTGCCCTGATGCCCACTGGGACTCGGGGCCAGGACTGAGTGAGCTCATTTCAACCTTGGCTCTCCTTTTGCTCTTTCCAGCCTTATGATTTCCCAGATCACAGCTCAGCTCCCATATTCCTGCTGGTGGGGCAGCCATCATCTTAGGGGCATCACATTGGAAAATGGGTTTTGTCCTTGGCTGTGTGCCTGATTGGCATTTGAGAGCTGGAGGTAGCAGGTCTGCCCCTAAAACTCAGGGAGGAGTCACCTTCTCTGGAGCTTGGGGAAGGAGACAAGACAAAAGCCTGGAAATGTGAAACAGGGGCTTTCCCTGAGACTGAGTGTGGGTTCCAGGTAAGGAGCTGGCTGTGCTGGGGCCTAGGCCTGGGTCTTTGGATTTGGTCCTGAACTGATGGAATTTGGGTTTCTTGTGTCTTCTGGGCATCCCTCCCTCTGTTTGAGAGGCACATTTAGTCTGGGTTGCCAGCCTGATATGCTGAGGGGAGCTCAGTGAATAAGGAATCTTGTTTTCAAGGGGGAGCAGGGACTAGAACCTGGGCAAGGTGGCAGCTTCAGGGGAATGAGAGGAGGGACTCAGTGGTAGATTTGGAGCTTCATGTTTGGCCACCTTCCCAGAGTCTCCTCTGCCCATGTCTGGGACAAGTCTGTGCTAGGTGGATTTTCAGTTCTGCTCAGTGGAGTTGAAAATAGCAGAAGAAATATGGCTGGGCAGGGAGTTCTACTCTACATCAGGGGTTATGACTGGGCCAGTTCACAATGGATTTTTCTAGAACTTAAAGCTGAATATTCAACAGAGCCCTCAGCCCTTGGCCTGGCCCAGAGGGGAAGGAGGGGCCTCCATGACATGACTGGACAAGACAGAGACTGGGACAAGACCCTGGAGATGGAACAGACAGAGCCTGCCTGGCCCGAGCAGGGCCTCAACGATGCAGGAGGCAGCTGTCGGCACAGGGTGTGGACATAAAAAGCACTCAATAATTATTTTTTTGAGTGAAAGAGGAAACAAAAAATGTGGCCTTAAAAGCTCCTCTCCTAATCTGCGACCTGGCTAGGCTTACCTTTCTTGTCTTTCTTCTCTTCCTCTTCACCACCGGCCCCCAGCAGGGTAAAGATGATGCCAGTCTGAGAGTTCACACCCACAGCAGTCACCAACATCCGTCCTGAGCCCTCCATCACGTGGGTCCCTGGGAAGGAGATGAAAACCAAGTTACCATTGCATGGGCCAAAGCTACCTTCCCAAAGGAGTGGAAGGAAGGCAGTCTCAGCTCCTGGTTTTGCCTGCTGAGGTCCTGGAGGTTCAAACTCTGTGTGTGTGGGGTCCTTTTAAGATGATTTCACTTTGGGAAAGTGCTGTGATGGGCCTGGGGCTCAAACACTGCCATACCTCAGTTCTCAGGTCCCTGAGACAGTTCCAGGCCCACTAGACCTTCTATCTTGTCCTGTAGAATAACTTCCCCCTCCACCCCTCTTGTCCCTCCTCTCCCTGCCTTACAGGCCCAGCAGAGGCTACTCTCTCTTTTCCTTATTGATAGTATTTAGAACCAGACCTCATTCTGCTTCATTCTGCAACAGCAAAGGAATGCCAATTAAGCCCTAGAGAGGACTGCTGAGCAAGGAGTCCATGCCTCTCTCCCCAAAATTAGTGAAAAGAATTCAGGGGTGTGGGAACTTGGGTGAAAAGAAATCACATGTTTATTTTAATAAACTCCAAACTGAAAATTAGCATTTCCTCCCATTATGCACATAGGCAACAAACCATAGGAGTGTTAGTGGTGTCCAAGATGCCATTATCATCAGAAATCATGGATTTTTCATGTTATTTTACAGCTGTTATAGGTCTTGCTCATGCTCATCTCTACTTTGTAATTAAGGTGATTATTTAATCAACTGCTAGATCTTGCTAAAAAAGAAGCACATACATCACTATATCCCACACTTATTTTTTTTATTACTCTGTTAACTACTGTAGTATGATTAGTTTTATTTTATACATTTCAAAGCTTTATTTCAAGTATGGGTCTGTACAGGATGCCAGACTTCCCCAGGGGTCCATGGTGTAAGAAATGTTAAGAATTCTTTTCCTAGAATTTTACATTTTTTTAAACTGGGTTCCAAAGGGCCCTGGAATTCTTTCCAGGGGCTGGAGGAGCAGCCATTGGGGGGGGGGGGCGGTGAGGGAGGCCTTTGGTCAGAGTGGCTCCACTTTTATTTGTTTTCTCTTTGGGGTTTCTGTGTTAGATTTTGTTTGACAAGAGTTTTTGTTGCTTAGCCTGCTCTATGGCAAACCACTCCATCGTACAGATGGGAAAACTCAGCCCAGAGACTTGTCCAAGTTCATGTGGGAATATGTGGTAGAGTAAGGATAAGATGCAACAAGCTTACTGAAGTCGCAACCTCGCTGGGGAAAAAAAGGCAGCCACAGGGAGGGCAGTGGGGACCTGGCCCGGAAGCAGACAGCAGTTCTCAGAGCAGGAGACATGGCACACTTCACTCTTTATCCCCAGGCTGCAAATTGGTGGCTGGTGCCGGGAGACACATTACCATTGCATCCCACTTGTATTTAGGGCCATCTAGAAGTTTTTACCCAGGAACTCCCTGCGTAGTGCAAACAGTTAACACACTTGGCTGCTAACTACAAAGTTGGAGGCACCTTGGAAGAAAGGCCTGGTGATCTACTGAGAAATCAGCCATGGAAAACCCCATGGAGCACAATTCTACTGTGACACACATGGGGTCACCATGAGTTGGGGTTGACTCACTGGCAACTGTTTTTTTCCTCCCCCTTTTCTGCTAGGATCTAAGTGATATCTAGTTCTAGGAGGAGAAAGAGAGAGAGAGAGAGAGAATGGTGTTCTAGCCTCTTGGCCTCCAGGATCTCAGAATCTTAAAATGGTTTACAGACATACAGACAGACACTGTAATGAGTTCCTTTAAGGCAGGTCAGTGTCAGTCTATACATCTACGGATGGGTAAGCCAAGTCCTGAAGGCCCACAGAGGGGATGTGAAGCCCAGTGAGCTGTCACAAAACCAAGACTCTCAGATGGAAAGTGCTTCAGCTGGCTCCTTAGCAACTCTCAGGACTGAGGGACAGAGTCTTTTTGTCCCTGGACAGGGAATGGTGGGGACCACGGAATGAGCTCAGACATGGAATCCAGGCCAGGCAGCCCAGGTCTGGTGTCTCTCATCATAGGAAGACCCTGGAGCCCATCCATCTCCAAGAGGCACAAACAGGAGAACCAAGACCCAATAATGGGACCTTGATGATTATAGGAGTTCCTGGTGGCACAAATGATTAAGCCCTTGGCTACTAACTGAAAGGTTGGCAGATCAAATCCACACAGAAGCTCCTTGGAAGAAAGTCCTGGCAATCTTCCCAAAGATCACAGAAATTGAAAACCATATGGAACAGTTCTACTCTGACACACATGGAGTCATCATGAATCTGAATCAACTCGAGAGCAACTTTTTTTTTTGGTGATTATAATAACTTGCTTACAAAATGCTTTCTCATGCACCAGCTCAGGTTGTGTGGGGGCTAGGTGAGGGGTTGTTAAACATCAGCATTCGACAGATGAGGAAACTGAGGCCCAGAGAAGTCACATGGCGGGCGTTGTGGACTCTTTAAAGGAGGAGGATGAATACCTTTCACTGTACAGAAAGAGCATAGAAAGCAATGAGTCTCCAGAGCTGACTTTGATAGAACACCTACTGTGTGTCAGGCATGGAGCTAGCCCTTCCCATGCAATGTCCTCAGTCAGTCCTCACACTGGCTCTCAATATACAGGGGAGGAAGCCGAGGCTCAGGGAGAGAGGAAGCGGCTTGCCCAAGGTTGCCCAGCTGGTGAGGGGTGGAGCCAGGACTTGAATGCTTCCCCATTTGTCTCTTTCCCATACCTCTTTTCTCCACAGGAAACAAGGCCCTAACACCTTGGTCCAAAAACATTAAAAAAAATTTCACTGGAAAATGAAGACGTTCGTCCTTGGGCTCTGCTTGGGTGGAAACGGAAAGTCTGCTCCCCACCTCCCCAGCTGCAGAAGGGGATGGAAAAAGACACAGGGGGCTAATTTCCACCCAAGATAATCAGTTACCCCCCAAATCACCTTCTAATTTAATCACTCCCATCACTGCAGGGAGCTGGCAGCTCACAGGCTGATCTTAGGAGGAGTATGCTGGAAGGGGCCCCGGCCGAGCCTCAGTGAGCCCCAGGGCATTCCCCTGCCTCAGCATCGGCCTCCCAGGGTGGCCCTTCCTCCTTCTCTGCCCCAGCATCCCCCCAGCCTCTGATCCAACCAAAGCTTCCCCACCGCAGACTACTGGATGGCTCCCCAAGGGTCAAACTCCTCAGTCTGGCCCCCTTGTCCTCTCCCCTGAAGCACGCCCAGCTCCCTGCACCTTTGGGTCCAGCCCCTTTGCCCTTGCTCACAAAGTTACCACCACCTGAATGCCCTTTCCCCCATCTCTCATCCAAAAGTCCAAAATCCTCTGCTCAGAGCTCAGGGCTCAGAACAAATACCCCTCCTCTGATGGAGCCTCCCTTGACTCCTGCAGTGAACTTCATCTCTCTCCCTGAACTGCCCCGTAGTTTCCTGGAATTCTCCTGAGGGGCTTCCAGCCCAGGCTCTCGGCTAGACTGTGAGCCCCTGGAGGGCGAGTCTCCTCTGCCTCCCAGAGCAAAACCTGGCCTGTAGCTGGAGCTCCAGCACCTTCTCCTCTTCTCCCTCCTCTTTTGTGTTTTCCATGATGGGCATGTATTACATTTATAATGGAGAATTCCCACAGCCCCAACAAACTATGTTTATGGTTCTACAAAGGGTCAAATTCATTCCAGCTTTGCCCCATCTCTCCCCAAGCCTCACTGGGCAATGGTGTCTCCCTACTGGGACCTCAGAGAGCTGGCTGCACCTCTGGCCAGAGGAAGAATTCGATAGACCAGGCCACCCCCATAGGCTGCTGCCCCCAGTTAGGAGGCCCTTGCAGGGGGTGATGCTTAACACTAGTGGATGAGGCGCTAATGGTGGAACAACAGGAATTAAAGTCAAAGGTTGAGTGACTCGGTCCCTCAAAGGAAAAACCACAGGGCCTTTGGGTAGGGGCGGTGGAGAGAACCCTTTGGGGATGGAGGCCCTGGCAGGGTCTTACACAAGGACCTCATTGTCCATAGGCCCCTTGGGAGTCCCTCTGTAGCCTTTTGCCTCCTCTAAGCCTCCATTGGGGGCTTCAGAATACACAAACTTTTGGGGTGGGGAATGGATAGAGAGACCCCTGAAGCGCCTTAGAATACACAAACATCTGGGGGAAGGGTGGATACAGAGAGCCCTGGAGCCCCTCAGAATACACAAGTATTTTGGGGGGGAGTTGTGAATACAGAGAGCCCTGGGACGGGGAAGAGGGGACCTGGGAACTATTCTGGTATCTTCTGATTTGCTGTGAGCTCTCTTCTCTGCACCTCAGTTTTGTCCTCTGCAAAATGGGGAGGGGGCTGGCTTAGCCGTTCCCTGTCAGCGATGGTGTCTGGAGACTCTGGGTCCCAGGGAGATGTGGACAACTCCTGGGCAGCTTCCATAAAGGGCTCCGCCTCAAGGAGAAGACTGTTTGGACGGGGCCAAGCGAGGCTGACGCGGACAGACCTGATGTGGAGCCCCCGCCCGGGCCACACTCACTCACTGATGGGCAGCCAACTCCGTGCTGGGCTCTAGGGCCCGCAGGGGGCACGCCTAGATTCCGTCCTCATGGAGCTCCCAGTCTAGCTTTGTGGAGGGGAGCAGGTGTGAACACAGATAAACACCAACCTGAGACAATAAGGACTCGATGGCTGGGGTGGGTGGGGAACAGCCTGCGCAAAGGTGGACACGGGTGATGGGGATAGCATCAGGTCAGGTGGGCTGGGGCTTAGGGCTCACCAACGGGGGTGGGAGAGAAGAGGGAGCCAGCCAGACCGCACAGTGGCAGATAGAGGGCTCCGGGGCTGGGCGCCTGCTCAGTGCTCACGGAGGAGCCACTGAAAGTATCTCTTGGGGGAGGGAGGAAGAGAACTAGTTATTTACTGAGCATTCAGTCTGTGCCAAGAACTATCCATCACAAACAACCTGTGAGATAATGACACCATGCCCACAGTACAGCACGGGGAGGCTCTCTGCCGTTCAGCCAGAGGGCAGAGCGGGATTTGAACCTTGGGAGTGGCC